TTATCAGTTAGTGGGGGATTGTTGATAACCCAAGTACTTATTCTCCCAAGAAATTGACATATCACTTGAGAATGTTCAGTTGTTTAGGATGCTCTCAGTGATTTTTATTTTTATTTTTTTTATTTTTATTTTTTTATGTTAGTAGTCCTATTTATGCTCTTATATCAATTGTTAATTACTAATGTAATTTTTAGGTGTAGATGACTCTTTATACTTAATTATAAATATTTGTTATGAGTATAATTTAAATTTAAATCTAATATACTATAAGATATACTTTTGTTTTGGCTATACTTGCTGCGATATAGGGATTCTAGTGTGTACTCCATAAATAAAATTTTTTGGTTGATAAAAAAAAATGAAATTCATATGTAATCTCAATCTTATGTATTTTAATATAATTTCTATTTTCTATAAGAAAAATAATAATGCTATTTCGAACAACCATAACTTGAGTTGAGAAAAACAGAAAAGCCAAATCATATATTCATAGGTGCGGTTATACGAATTTGAAACAAAATTGCTTGTTAATGTTTAAGGGGGTGTTTGAATTAATAGCTCAAATATAGCTGATATTACTATTATTTATACTTGAGAGTCTGGGGACTGTGTGATCAACATGATACAAAGCCACTTCTATTTTTTGATAAGTGGAAATTTAGAAGGTTGGCCTTATTCTTTCCTTGACTGGTGCCAAACTCAAGCAGGTGCTTGGTAACAAAATGCTGTAAAAAATTTTAATCAGTTGGTGCTAGTTTTACTTACTAAACTTTTAATGTGTTTATTGGTTTGAGTACTCTTTATACTCTTCAAATAAATTAGTTCTTTTGGCGCTTTTCAAAAAAAAATTATAATTAAGAATATCTAATATATTCAATTATAATGGTTAATAATTGTTTATAAAACTTCAAAACAAGCACCTTCTAAAAAATATTTTCTTAATTTTTGAAAAATGAAAATTACATGGACACATTACTTTCGATTTGTAAGATACGATTTTGAACCCAAAAGCCTTCATTAATCATTATTAAGTTTTTGTGAATCAATTTTCTCTAAGTATTTTCTCTTTCATATAAAAATGAAAAATTATACAGCACACACTTTCTCTTTGTATATAAATTAACCTCCTTATTTAACTTACACCTTTGATAACCTAAGTGACTATAATTGTTTCGATTTAACCTTCTTATGTAGCTTCTTTAACTTTCACTGAAAATGAATACTGGTTGGTACACTCTAATTTAATACATTATAAAACACACTTAATAAAAAAATTATTATTTTTTGCTTTGAAATTAAAAATAAATAAATTTAAAGATATAATCATGTATACAACATATAAAAATTGATTAAATTAATTTTATTTATATTATATTTTAATAGTTAAATTGATCAATATCAAAAAGTCTGTCGAATAAAAAAGGTACCATTCATTTTCAACTATAAATATTGAGTCAAAGTTGATCTCTAATTGCATCATGCATGGCTTACAAGTGCAGTCAGCCTACAGAAAATTGTGGATAAAACAAAAAAATGGATAAGGGAAAGTTATTTTATATGGTATATATATATATATTTTTTGAACTTTTTGTCATGGGGCGGGTTCGAAACCCGCCCAAGGAAGGAGGATATGTACTTTTTCAGTGGCACTAACCATTGAGTCACAAGGGTCAAGTGCTTATATCGTATAATTTAAAATAAAAGAAAAGACAAGAAAAAAACTAATGCCTAATAGTGTAGAAAATAACAATAATAATAGTAATAATTATAATAGTAATAATAATAATAAACTCTAATGCCTAATACTTTGAGTGTAGATGCTCGATCCTCACCTTATATTATGATATTTTCAGCCTCTCATCTTATTAGATTTGTAGGTTTTAGCCTTTCACCTTATACAATGACACTTTTAACCTCTCATCTATTAAAATTGAAAAAAATAACCTTCACTTTGTTACATTTTGTTAGTTCTATTAGCTAACTATTAACTCTATTAATTGATTGTTAATTGATTGTTATTTTACAAAAATCTTCTTTAACTAATAGAGTTAACAAAACTAATTTTATAATATTTCATTAATTCTGTTAACTGACTATTAGTTGGCTGTTAGTTGAAAAAAACTTACTTTCAGTTAACAGTGTTAACAATCAGTATAAAATGAGGGCTATTTTCTTTGATTTTAATATGTGAGAAGTTAAAACCTATAAATCTAGTAAGGCGAGCAGTTAAAAGTATCATAATATAAGGTGAGGAGATACACCTTTAAATTTGGTAAGATGAAGGGCTAAAAGTAGGTTTTTGCTACATTTGGCTGGATGTGGTGAATATGCATCAGATGGTGAAGCTAGAAGGTCCCCTCTTTAGGAAATACAAAGAAGGAAAAAAAAAGGTGTTCTATTAATTTTAGATGGAGTATCCTAATTTGGTTGATAAAAGAAAATGGAGTATCCTTAAACATAATAAAAAATTGTTTAACATTCTCCCTAACAACGTAGCAGATTTCAAATTGTTACACAATCATAAAATTAGCAATGTGATAATATTCAGTGGCGGAGCCAGGGAGGTGCGA